GGCCTCTCCCATTTGCGGAGCACAGGCTCCGGACGCGCAGGCTCAGCGGCCATGGCTCACGGGCCCAGCCGCTCCGCGGCATGTGGGATCTTCCCGAAACGGGGCACGAACCCGCGTCTCCTGCATCGGCAGGCGGACTCTCAAGCACTGCGCCACCAGGGAAGCCCCCCAATGGTATCTATTTTGAAAAAAATGTATTAAACAAACAAAGGTATAGAAGTAGATTACCAATCTGACCTGGAATCAGACCTAGGCATCAGAAGAAACAGTGCTTTTCAGGTATAGTGTAAAATTGTGCCTGAATATTTCTCTTCCACCTCATCTACCCAGCTTCTGATGATACACATGCACCCCAGGAAAAGAGAGGTGGTAGTAGAAAATAAAGAATATTACTGCTAAGTAGCCAAATCCCTTTGCTAGGGGACAAACCATCCTCTACCCCACAGACTGAGTGGTAAAACTGAAAACACTTATCACTAACGGCCCATGCTCTTCTGCTAAGATAACGCCTCTTAAAAGGCCACATGATATAAAAGAATGATGTTTTCTTTTGACAGAGAGTTTGGAGAGATGTAGATCTGGATACAGAGTACCAGATGTAGATCTGGATACAGAGTACCAGGTAGTAGCAGCAAAGAGAAGAGATGCTCAGAGAAATAAAGTCAAAGGGTGTCCAAGAAGAGGGGTCTTAGAATTGCAAGAGGGGGCCTGGGAGGAGCAGGGGCTGCTGTTAGAAGCAAACTGCAGCAGCTCAGGAGACAGCAACACAGCTGAGCAAAACAACGAGACACAGCAAAACTGTCCACTGAAAATAGGGACACTGCAAGGCCACACTCCACCCCCACCCCACCTGTCTCATAGAGGAACACCCATGAAAGGGGAAAGCTAAAAGCCTATGTTGCAGATTTTTTTTTAAACGACCATCGTTTCTTTGACGTGCCTCCCTTTGAGAGGTGGGCTGTAATGCCCTACCCTTGAATCTGGGCAAGCTTGTGACTGCTTCAGCCAACAGGGTAAAGCAGAAGTGACAATTGATTTTTGAGGCTAGGTCATAAAAGGCCATGCAGCTTCTGTCTTGTTCACTGGGACTCTCTCTCTTGGAGCGCTGAGTTGCCATGTAAGAAGTCTGACCACCCTGAGACCACCATGCTGTGAGGAGGCCCAAGTACAAAG